GCCTGTCTCAACTTGTGTGCTGTTCAAACCCCAAATGCACATGGAAGAGGTGATTGGGAACTTAATGCAGGCTGAGGGAAGCCTCTGGCTGACCTGAGTAGATGGTCCAGCTGCCATGCCATGGATTTTTTTTTTTTTTTTTTGTGAGGAGGACCAGCCCTGAGCTAACATCCAATGCCAGTCCTCCTCTTTTTTTTGCTGAGGAAGACTGGCCCTGGGCTAACATCCTTGCCCATCTTCCTCTACTTTATATGGGACGCCGCCACAGCATGGCTTAACAAGCAGTGCATCAGTGCATGCCCGGGATCTGAACCGGCAAACCCTGGGCTGCCGCAGTGGAGTGTGCGCACTTAACCGCCTGCGCCACCGGGCCGGCCCAATGCCATGGATATTGATGAGGATTTCCCTGGCCTGGAACTCTGAATTTAGTCTGGTTAAGTGTTTCTTCGTGTGTGAGACGATTTTTTGGTGGTACCCCATTATAGTATTTTTTAAATCATTTTTCAGCTTAATTGAGATATAATTGGCATATAACATTGTGTAAGTTAAGGTGTACAACGTGTTAAATTTTATATACTTATATATTACAAAATGATTACATGGTAGGGTTAGTTAAGGTTTCTCTTTTTAACCCTTATCCAATCCTTTGATGAGGTTTAGGAGAAAGTCTCAGTATGGTTCTAATATGTGTTTACATCTGCCTCTAACATCTGCCAGTGTCCCTTTTTTACAAAGCCTCAGGCGTGCTACAGTATCTAGGTAGAATTTGATAATATTTCATATTTATTATATTCCTTTTTCTGGTTACGTTCTGTATATGGCAAGTGATATTGGTTTTCATCTGTGCTAGTAATATGAGGTTTCCTTTTGAAATACATTTTATGAAGGGGAAAAAGAGAAGGTTAATATAGAAAACAACTGATATAACAGTGTGCCGAGCTGGCAAAGCATCTTGAAGATGCTTTTCAAATGATTAAAGATTGGGAAATGCTGTTCTACAGCATTTTGCCTACAATGATTTTCCTTTATGTTGAAGTCTGGGTCAGTAGTGTCAGAAAGCGATGCTAAGTGTGGGGCCTGTAGTGCCCAGGCCATCACTGGTGGTAGTCTGTGGTTTGTCTGTACCGCCGCCCCCCCGCCCCGAGCCCCTTTGTTCATTTGGCAAACAGACTTTGAGTGCCTGCGACGTGCCTGGTGCTGGGCTGGTTGCAGGCATAGCAGGGCAGTCCCTGCTGTCTGGTAGAGGAGTCAGATTGGGAAGACGTAGCTGGGATTCAGTGCCACGTGTGCTCGTGGAGAGAGGTACTGCAGACAGTGCACTAGGTGTTGTGTGGCACAAGAAGTCATGCTCTGCATTGCTGAGGGGATCAGGAAAGCTGCTCAGAGGAAGTATTTGAATGGGTCTTAAGGAATAAATAAAACATAACTATTCATAGGTGCTCCAGGCAGAGAAAGGGAATGCTAGGCAGAGGGGATGGCATGTACAAGAGCATGAAAGCCTCAAGAAATGTGGCCTGAAGAAATGTGGTGAGTTCAAGACCCTTATGTATATTTTAGTATGGCTGGAGTATAGACGTTGTGTCTCAAACTTGTATGTGCATTTGATCACTGGGAAATCTTGTTGAAGTGCAGATTTTGATTGAGTAGATCTGTGGCAGGACCTGAGACTCTGTGTTTCTGCAGACCACACATGGAGTAGCTGGGTATAGAGCTCATATAACCATAATAATTTAATAGCAATAGCTAGCATCTTCTTCCATGCTCCCTTGCATTCCAGGTACATTTTTGCACTTTACATGTATTTCATTTAACTCTTATACCAACCTGATGGGGTAGGTAGATAATTAGGATTATCCCCACTTTACACTTGAGGAAACCGAGGCAGACAGAGTAGTAATTTGGCAAAGCGGAAGCTGGGGTTAGAGGCAGGCCTCTGTTAGTTCAGAGATGAGAAGGCTCCGTGAGTTGTTCTGAAAAGCTTGGCCTTGATCTTGAAGGCAGAGGGAGAAATTGAAGGTGATTACTCAGGGAGAGGCTGGATGACATTTGCCTTTTTTTTTTTGAAGTTTTATTTATTTATTTTTTCCCCCAAAGCCCCAGTAGATAGTTGTATGTCATAGCTGCACACCTTTCTAGTTGCTGTATGTGGGACGCGGCCTCAGCATGGCTGGAGAAGCGATGCGTTGGTGCGCTCCCGGGATCCGAACCCGGCCTGCCAGCAGCGGAGCGCGGGCACTTAACCGCTAAGCCACGGGGCTGGCCCGACATTTGCCTTTTATAGAGGTTGCTCTGGCCACGCGCCCTCAACAAGTGAAGCGTCACATGAAGTTTGTTTCATGACTGAACACTTGAGTGCTTTACCATCAAGTTTGTTTTGAATCAAGCAGCTAATTATTTCCTAGCTCCCTCCCTGCCATAGTAGCTTTTGTTGACATTGTTGCTCTTCACTTGGTTGATTTTTAAGTGATTGATTCAGTTCATTGTGTTTGAACTTCTTTCTGAACCTCATCTTAATGTCTAAAAATCAAGATTGAACCTTCTTCCTAATACAGCAGTATTGCTCCGTAAGACTGGCTTACAGTTCAAAGGAAATGCCAGCTTGGAGAAAGCAAATCGCTTTAATTACTTAATCTGAGTTCATTTAAAAAATTTGAATGACAGTTTTGTTACCACACCAGGTCCGTTTTTGCCCGCTGCCTGGAAAGCCAATCACCGAGATGACGAGATTGCAGAGAGAGAGGGTTTAATCACAAAGCAGCCCAGTGAGGAAAACAGGAGAACAAGTCTCAAATCCGCTTCCCCGAAAATGGGGACTCGAGTTTTTATGGGGAAGGGGGCAAGGTGGTCTGAAATGATTGGAGCTCAGGGGAGATGAGGTAATTGATGATCTGCGCAAGCGTAGTCAGACTTCATATCTCTTCGTAGGACACATGTTCACAGAATGGCTGCGTTAGCATGCCCTGACGGTGGAGTTCCAACCTCTTGCCATCACAAGGGCCCAGTTGATGGGTTGGTGGTCTCAGTCCGGCCTGAAGTGGACAAGAGGCTCCATTCCTGAAAAAAAATAGCTCAAACACCCATTACCATGGTAACCCAGGCTCCAGGGAGATGTCGTCTATAGGAACCTAGTGGGAGTCAGACAGCATATTGTACACTGAGTAAGTTTATCATGCAGATGTAAGTCCTCGCCTTCCATTCTGCTAAGTTTCTAGGTAAGGCCATCCCACCTTCTTCCTGGTGCAGGGAAGAAGATACCTTTACAAATGGAGATTTTCTTTACAAATGTAAATGTATCTCATAAAGGATAACCAGAACTAAGAATGGGTTTAGCACGACCCACCCAGGTACTGGGAGATGTCTATAGTAATGGCCTTTTCTGGGGGCAGGCCTCCCATCCCAGACTCCTTTGGTCAGTTAGTGGGGGTGGGGGTCAAAACGGCATTCAGGCAGAGACATACTCTGAGTTTGCAAATTCCAGTCCCCCATAGTTCCCAGCTGCTCAGTCATCAATGGCTGCTTGCCGGTTTCAGTTTCATTGTCAGAGGTCTGTGTACATTGTACTTTATTTCTGTCCAGGTTTCCGCTAGCTAAACACTTTTGTTATGAGCTGTGTGTCAAGGCCGGATATTGCATTTTGAAGCCGAGAGTCAAATAGCAATTTAAACTCCTGACTTTCATACCTGTCTGTGAAATTCACATAAATGAAATGGAAATACAACAGGGCTGCTCTGTTATGAAATATTGACTCTGTTGCTCCTTGTAGAAATCTTTAAGGGGTAACCATTTTGGCATTTATATGTATATGTAAAATACACACGCATATATTTTTTTCTTTTTAGTCTACCTTCCTTAATTTGCCCATTTGTGATTTCCTGTTACAAATAGGCTTGTTTGAAATTAATGGTCCCTTAAAGAGGCACTGTTTGTAATTTTGAAAATGAAACTTACCCCTTGAAAATGCTTCAGCCTGGCTTGTCCACCTCCCTGTCTGTTCCTGTAGCTGGTCCTTTACTCCACTTCCCCATGTCCCTTCTTCCGCTGGGGCCAGCCCCGCTGTGGCTGTCTGGCTTGGTCTCTTCTTTCCCTGATTGCGTTCCTGCCCTGACCGCTCACTTCAGGAGCTCGAGCGTTCTCTTCCTCACTCTCTGGCTGGTGAGAGCAGAGGGCAGCGGGTGCCTGTGTAGCTGCAGGCTGGCTGCCTAGGGCACTAACGTGAGTTTCTGGCCTGGGAGGACTCTACAGCCTTGCTAACAAAGCTTGCATGCCCATGATACAGTGATACCAACACTACTTCCACTATCCTCCAGCATTGACATCTGAGAACTGGCATATGGCTTGCTCTGCATTAAACAGTGGGAAAAGTAGGCAGCTCATGAACTCCTCAAGAACGCAGATCACATTTCTTATTTTGTATACTCTACACCAGTGCTCATTGGCTTTCATTCTTAATAATCGTTATTTTACAAGGTTTCTCCTCTTATAAATATTTATTCATTGTAGAAAATTTAGGAGAAAAAAATGGTAAAAAAAAAAAAAAGAGAGAGGGAAGAAAAGGCCTTCATAATCCTACTACCCTGAAAAAAATTTCCTCATGACTTTTTTGGTGTATATTCTTCTACCATTTCTTCTCTGCCTGGGTGAATGCAGACATATGACCTACGTCACACACTGTTTGGGAAGTTTGACCTTCTTTTCACTTAACATTTAACTCTGATCATCTTTCCAAGGCATTAAATCTTCTCCTAGAACATCTTTGTAAATGGCCGCAGAACATTCTTTTGTGTGAATGAACAATAGTGTTATTTAGGCAGCCCTTTCTTGTTGGAAATTTATGTTGTTTCCAATGTTTTTACCGCTGTTGATACAATATTAAGATGAGCATTCTTGTAGCTGTTGACTGGGAACATTTCCTAGGATAAATTCCTTAAAGTGGAAATGTTTAGCCAGGATTTTTTTTTGAAGCTTTTGACACAATAGTATTTACTTTTGTTTCTCTCTAGACACTACAACAACAGGAGTGCAAACTTCTCTACAGCCGAAAAGAGGGTCAGAGGCAAGAAAATAAAAACAAAAATAGATATAAAAACATCCTGCCCTGTGAGTATCAATATTCTGCTCAGTAGTAATCACTCTTGGAGATTTTGATTCCCAGTGCCCCTGTAACTTGTCCTGGGGGCCGTGTGCCTTCTCAGCATATCCGAGGCCTTAGCCTCTTAATTGTGAGCAGTTTCCAAAATAATCAACTGTGGTGGGGATGGATGGCCTCGTTAACCGAGTTCCTGTGATGCTGATTAGTGAGTAAAATTGCCGCTAGGAGGTTTTGAGTGTGCCTGTTTCCTTCTGTTAACTGATTTTGTCTGCCTAAGAGTGTCTGCTTAAGAGTGATAGTCTCACAGCTTGCCATCTCCCAGGATCAGGCCACACCATGAGTCTCAGGGGTCCCAGGCTTGTGTCCTTGAGCTGCAATATCCATCCCAAGGGTCTTGGGGAAGGCACGCCTCCTTTCTGGGACTGTTTCCTCACCTGGGGAACAGACAAGCTCCTCATGAGGGCTCTTCCAACTGTTCCATCAGGGTTCCCTGATGCCCTGACCTCGAGTTACTGGAGATTGGGGTACACACCTATGCTTCACTCAGAAGTGGACCTTGTGATACTGGTAAAGCAGTACCTCCTTTAACATCCAGATGCTGCCAGGTAGAGCCCAAGTTAACCATGAGGAAAAAGAGGCCCGGAAGGCTGTAGGCCTTGGATAAGGGCCCCAGAAATGGCACTAAACAGTTGTCATCACTCACCTCTCCTGAGGGCTGACTCTGTGCCAGACTCTTTGCATCTATAGCTCACTTAATCCATAGCCCATGCACACAGAGCAAGTGTTCTTATTATCCCCATTTTATAGACATTTTAGCAAGGTCGCAAGTGGGAGTAAGAGGGAGAACTGGCACTGGAGCCCCCAAAGTCACTGATCTTAGCACCATGCTCTAATGCACGGGTCTTCAGAGTGTTGCATGCAAGGCAATCCACTGGGGCAAGGGAAGGAACAGTTTGAATTTCTCTTTATGTATATCCTATATCTAGAGAAAAAAAGGGAAAGAAAAACTTAAACCTGATGTACAGATTGATAGCAGTGCACGCATAATAAATTTACCCAACTTAAAAATAAGGCTTGTTTATATATGTATGTGCGTATATTTCAGTGTTCAAAAACTTTATTATTAAAGTTTATTGGGCACATGATCAAATTTGGAGAGCATTGCTCTAATGTCTCATCAGGTCGGAGCCATGTTGTCAGATATTGTGAGCCCATCGGTGTGTACGTGTGAGTGTGAAGCATAGTCTTTCTCTTTCTGTATACATATGTACACATACATGGTATATGTGTATACCACGTCCATATGGATATTTGTAATGTGTGTAGATGAGGATAGGAGAAAGAGGAGGCATTTATAATACTGAGAAAGGCAATGAGAAGTTGAAGAGAATCAGTTTAAGCCACAGCATGGTCCTAATGACCTTGGGGAAGCCTCATTCTTTCTATGTCTAAGTTTTCACTTCTGCTCAAGAAGTCTAATGGTACTTATTAGTAAGATGCAGGGATGTAGGAAAAGATGAAGGGAACAATATTATGCAGTATCTAAATAGAGTATTATTGCTGTTTCCTCCCTTAAAGATCCCAGATGTTTCAGATGTTTCCTCCGATTAACATCTTATTTCTTTAAAGATGGGGAGTCTGAGGCAAAAAGAACATTATTCAATTAAGACATAAAACTATATTACTAATTCCCGTTGTAAAATATGTTGCTTAGGTAGAGCACTCAGATTTTTCTACCAATAATGTACTTTTGTATAGAATTTGGTCAGTTGATACTATCAGAATCTTTTAAATATTGTATTTCATTCTGCCTCATTTAAAGAAACCCTTTTTATTATGGGAAGTTTCAAATATATTCAGAAGTAGACAGAATAATATAAAGAACCTGCACATACCCATCACCCAGCTCCAGCCGTCGTCACCTCATGCCCAGTCTTGATTCATCTGTATTCTGATCCACTTATCCTCTCTGCCCATGCTATTTTGAAGCAAATCTCAGACATGTCATTTATCTATACTTTACTCTTCCTTTTTTTTAAAATCAAAAAAAGCTTTTTGTTTTTAAATAGTTTTAGATTCACAAGAAGTCACAAAAACTTATAGAGGGTTCCCATGTACCCTTTACCCAGCTTCACTCAATGATAATATCCTTTCTATCCATAGTACATTATTAAAATCAGGAAATTGACATTGCTACTTTATTCTTCTTAAAAAAAAGCATTATGAGGCATCATGTGGTATTCAGATTATTGTTGTGCTCGCTTAGGCTTTTATTTTTTTATGTGGTCTTATCATTGATGAACAAAACTTGGACTAGGTTGAGGATTAATTGATTTGAACTGATTTGTCCTGAAGAGGTCTGAGCACTTTGGTGACTGGTCTTTTTTTTTTCTTCCAGTTGATCATACCAGGGTTGTCCTACACGATGGTGATCCCAATGAGCCTGTTTCAGATTACATCAATGCAAATATTATCATGGTAAATTTTGCTTTTCACAGTGTTTTCTGACCATAGATTGCTAGCCCTTTTTTGTGTTTTAAATCCTTCCTTGTGTCTTGAACGCAGCTTTCAAATGTTTGAAGGATTTTCTTCCTAAATTTCTAGCCTGAATTTGAAACCAAGTGCAACAACTCAAAGCCCAAAAAGAGTTATATTGCCACACAAGGCTGTCTGCAGAATACGGTGAATGACTTTTGGCGGATGGTGTTTCAAGAGAATTCCAGAGTGATTGTCATGACTACGAAGGAAGTGGAGAGAGGAAAGGTATGCTACGTATGCCTCTGATAAAATGTGTTTAAACTATTGGACACGGCAGGTTGACCATGTTAATTAAGAACTGAATAAACAAATTAAGCGTGCTCTAACTGACCCTCTGGAGAAAGGGAGTCGAGGAAGTTTATGATGTGCCTTTAGTTTTCCTTCCGCTGCTTCTGCTTGGGGTCCACTGAGCTTCTTGGGTTTGTGGATTTATGGTTTTCTTCAAATCTGGATAATGTTTATTATTTCTTCAAATATGTACCCCCCACCCCGTCCTGGGACACCAGTTGCACGTACGTTAGGCTGCTTGAAGTTGTCACACTACTCACTCGGGCTTTGTGCATTTTTTTAATTCTCTTTTCACCCCACTTTCATTTTGGATGGTTGTTTTTTTTTTGCTGTACGTCTTCAGGTTGATCTTTTCTTCTGTAGTGCGTAATCTGCTATTAGTCCTGTCCTCTCTGTTTTTCACAGCACACGTTGTCTTTTTCGTCTCTAGATGTTTTATTTAGATCTTTTAAATATCTTCAGTGCCTCTTTATGTGCATCATTTCCTATACCTTTTGAACATACGGAATATATTTATAATAACTGTTCTAATGTCCTTGTTACTGATTCTATTGGATATGTCGTTTCATTGTTTCCAGTTCTTTAGTTGTTTAAAGTGGGAAGGTAAATCCCGTCCCTGTTACTCCATTGTATCCAGAAGCAGAAGTCAAAAAGGTTGTGTAAGGAGGCCTGTCTCGTACTATCAGGTGCTTAAAGTACTAGTAAACAGTGATTTCACTGGTCATATAAACTATACTTATCATGACTTTTAAAAATTAAAAAAAATTAATTTGAATTATCCAAACAATGTATTCATATAAATTTTCAAAGACATTATAGTTAAGGTTAATGTTGCCTTTGTCACCCTCCTGCATCCACCCATTTTAGTCCCCTCCTCCAACATAAAAACCCTGTTATCAGTTTGATGTGTATTCTTCCACACTATCTTCTTAGCATTTACCTATGTATATTATAGGCATTATTATAGGCTTTACATACCTGCATTTACATATATACATGTATTGACACACGTATATATGTACCTCTAGAAGTATGTAGTACTACTTTATGAAAAATACTGTATGAAAAAGTGCTCTCATACAATAACTTTGTTGTGCATCTTGGGGTTTTTTTCTTCCACTAAATATGTGTTCTAACTTCTTCTGTTAGTATATATTGACCATCTCCTTTTTAGTAATTGCATGGTATTCCATGGTATGGATGTACCATAATTTATTTAACCATTATGCCCTTGATGGACATTCAGCTGTTTCAATTTTTGTTCTTATAAACGGTGCTGAAGTGAACAATCTTACTCTTGCTTGTATGTGTATGTGGCAAATGTTCCTCTAGGTTAGATATCAGAAGGGTTGGTAGGTCATAGCGTATGCATATTGTCATTTTAATAACTTCTGCCAAACTGCCCTCCAGAGTAGCTGTCCCAGTGTGCACTCCGCCCAGCAGCTTACCACACCCACCTCCCCACACTCTTCATGACAGACACTTGAGGTTTTTAAAAGTGTAACGTCCTGTACCTCCAAAGAAGCAGCCAGATCTCATTGAGTGACAGCTCTCTGTGTTATCCCAAAGTGAGCCCATCCATGTGGGTTTTTTCATATGGAAAAGTCCTGTGTCTTTGTATTCTGGTCAGAGTTCTTTTTTAGATGCACTTTAATTGGTTTATATAAAATTTGCATGTAGCCGTCATACCTATAAGTTAAACCTAAGACAGATGGGTGATTTTGGATTTTAGCCCTCCTATAATTTTCATGTCGGTTGTGAAGGGCAGCATGATTTTGTAAGATTTTCGTCATTGCACTACCGGTTGTTACACTTCTGAATACCCTTGAGGCCAGATCTGGTCATTGTGAAGCAGAGGCTTCCTCCAGCAGCTGCCTGCAGTAAGATGCCTGTGTTAGATGTTTTTGAATTAACATACAAGTTAAAACGTCTTCATAGTTTCTGCTTCAGGTGAGTGTCACCTGCCCTAAATATGGAAAGGAAAACTCTGCCCTGCCTGTTGCCTGATTGTAGTTGTAGGAGGCCGCCTATTCTCAAAGGACTTGGGAGCTGTGAAGAGAGGGTGCTCGTGTCACTTCAGAGGAGTCAGTGTTGGTCCCTTTCAGAAGAGCTGCCGGAAGCTCCTGGAACAGACAGACATTGGGCCAGATCACTGTGTCCCACTCCTCACCTCCTCCTCCCAGTCTGTGCCTGCTTTCCCGTTCTTCCGTTTCACTCTGTGGGGGGAGAGGATGACATGATGGGCTTTCATTCCTTCCACAGGCCTTTCTGATAACCTGCTCTCTGGGGATCCCTCCAGTGCACAGAACAAAAACCAGACTCTGGATTCCCTTTGATTCCTGGGCTTTAATTTAAAAGCTAAAGTATTAGCTCTCACATTTTAGAATTTGTTTGCCAAGGTTTGCATCAGAGTTTGGAAAACTGGGAGAATGGCTGCAGTTGTTGGCAGATATTTGAAGTCAGCTGAAATGTTTTCAGAGGGGTGATTTAATTTTTTGTTCTCTGTTGAGTTCTCTTGAGCAACCAGCAGTCCTCAGAATTGATTGGCCAATAACAGCATTGAGTACAATTAGTATTGAAAGTGTTTATTTGGGGATAATAAAAATTGTGTCAAATCTGTCACAGAGATATTTGGATCTACAAAATACTGGAGGGAAAGCTGAATTCAGAATAATAATAAATAAAAGACCACATAAACTATGCCAAGCAAAAAAGTCGCACCATCCGTTAATCCCTTTGTTGAACTTTCCTCTTGTCATATTTTTTTTCCCTATCAATTATCATTGACTATGTGGATGTCTGCAGCTGCTCTCCTATTTCTGGTTTTGTAACTGTGAATTTCTCTGTCTTCCTAACATACAAGGTGAATTTCTCTTGCTGATATTTGTGTCTTGGTGGTTCTGGAAAGTGAGTGGTGTGGGTGACCGTTCCCAGAAAAAAACAAAACACAAAAGCATTCTCTGCCCAGGACGCATCACCGAATATGTACAGACTCGTCTCTCATTGAGCGAAATATCTTCCTCTTTGGCAGCAAGAATGATTTTCTGGTGCCATATTTTTCAATCTGCTTGCTCTGAAGCCAGCAGCTATTGCAGGCTTGGCGTTCCCAGGCACCCAGTTAAGAGAAGGTGACGTGTGTAGTAGGTATCAAATGGATCTGGATATAGAAAAAGCAGCTGGTTCAGAACCCCATTGGCTGCCTTTCTGTGCTGGAGTTATTCACACTTGGGTTAGATAAGGCAGAGTCCTCCTACGCTGGTGCGGAAGTGAACCAGACAGTCTGGCTCGTTGGGCAGCCCATCCACCTCCAGAGTCCCTGCTTGCCTTCCGTAGAGTGACTGGCAGATCTCTAGAATTCAAAACTCTGGTTGCTAGACAGCACCCTCAAACTGGTTAGTCCCTCTCTCTTTGCATCTTTGGTCCTTGGAGATAAATGAATAAGCACTGACTCTCCTTTGACATGTGTCTTAGATCAGACAGCTCTGCAGAGGCTGCTTTCCCTGCCCCCTTCTCCCTGGCTCTCCAAGCAGCTATTTTTCATGTTTGAACTCTTCTTTCCTTTTCTTTGAAAATCCAACGGTTAGATACTAGATGCACCATTTTCCATGTTAGTAGTCTTAAGCAGGGGTTGAAATTTATTTTCTGCTGGTTTAGGCTTTTATTTCAAAGTTCACAGAGATTAACTGTCTTTTCTCTGATCCCTTCCAGAGTAAATGTGTCAAATACTGGCCTGACGAGTATGCTCTAAAAGAATACGGGGTCATGCGTGTTAGGAACGTCAAAGAGAGTGCTGCTCATGACTACACGTTAAGAGAACTTAAACTTTCAAAGGTTGGACAAGTAAGTATATTGTCGTATTTTAGAGACTTTGGTGAATGTCTATGTACGCAGTAACCCAGGGTCGTGCAGTTACTCTTGCCTGCATACGTTTGTGTATTTATTCACTCCTGATTCAGTATCTGTTTGTTGGGTGTCTTCTATGTGCCAGGTACAGTTGAAGCACTACTAGTACATTGCAAACAAGACAGGAGCAGTCCCTGTGCTCGCAGAGCCTTTGGAGACGGAAGGTTAAAAAGTAAATAACCAACTAAGCTTTCCGATTGTGCTCAGTCTGTGCAGGCCATAGGAGGGTATGTTAGAAAGAAACAGGGTACTTGAGATGCAGTAAACAGGGAGAGCCTCTTGGAGGGAATATCACTTGATCTGAGACCTGGAGGTGGAGGAACCAGGCATCCAGAGAGTCTGGAGAGAAGTGTTCCAAGCAGAGGGAGCAGCAAGTGCAAAGGCCCTGAGGTCCTGTTCAAATTCCATGGCATCAGATCTTAATTGCATGTAGTTCAGTTTTGTCCCTGGGGTGACTAACTTTACAAAGCAGGATTAGATTTGGATTCATTTTAATTTCATGATTAGAAGGGCTTACTTATTCAAGGTCTTTTGGGGACACAAAAATGAATGAAATAGCCTTTACCCTCAAAGAATTACAGTCATGTAGCAGCCAGAAGCTGTGTATACAAATGGCTGTGCTCCAGAGCAGACATGGGCTATGACACACAGCTGAGGTGCCGAGGTACTGCAGAGGCTGGGCTTCCTTCCAGCTCGGGCATCAGGGAGATGGTCTCAGAAGGGGTTGAGTCTTTAAGGGTGAGGTTCCCATGGGAGAAGATGGTGGAGGGAGGGCCTCCCGGATGGAGGTGTCATTGTGGGCCACAGTGCTGAAGTGCAAAGTGTGGGCGAGTGGGATTTATGGGGGATAAAGGCAAGTGGGGAATCGAGGGAATAAACTGGGGTTGAGAGAGGCTGGGACCAAGTCGGGAAGAGTCTTGACCATCATGTTAAGAAATGTGAACTTTATTCATTAGTTATCTTGGAACCCGTGAGGGTTCTTGTGCCAAGTGAACCTGTGCACAGAGCTGTGTGCTGGGAAGGTGTCTGATAGCCCTGGCGGGGAGGATGGGCTGGGGTGATCCGCTGGCTGGGAGGCGTCCGCAGTGGTCGAGGTCTGGTGGCCTCCTCTCCCCGTTTCCCAGAGACCCCAGCAGTTGTTCTTTTTGTTTTCTTTCTTCTTCCTTCCTTTGGAAAGGAATGTTATGTTAAAATGTCAGAATAAACTCTGGAAGTGAAGCAGTGTGTGTGAGAGAGGCCTTTGGGTGAAGTCTGCAGGGCATGGGGGTAGTTTGGCTGTTGGAGGAGGAGGAGGAACAAAGACATCTTAAGAGTTGGAGTCTGAGTGGACAGTGGCGCTGTGGCAGAGGTCAGAAAAGCTGGGAGAAGATATGGAAGGTGGTAGGGCTTGAAGCGTCTAGGTGCAAGATGACAGGGTGATGACAGGGGCGAGGAAAGAAGAGGACCAATGCGAGATGATTGTGGAGGGAGACATGAAGGGATTTGATGATGGTGTGAGTGAGAGGTGCGGGCGGCGTTCAGGATGACCGCCCGTGTTCTCGCTTGAGCAGTGGGGTGGATGGTAGTAGATCTGAGGAGGGAGGGAGGATGAAGAACAACCTCCGGAACATGTCAAGTTTGAGATGCCTTTGAGACATCCAAGCGAAGATGCCGGGGAGGCCGGGATGGAGATTGGATGAGGAGGGGAAATGGGATCCAGAGCATCGTGGATGGATTTGGTCGATTGTGGGACAGCTCCTCTGTGGCAATAGGAGGAAAAGAGGAGGAGGTAGCCGCAGATGCCGGTAGAGGAGCTGAGATGGATTTTCTCTATATTCTCCATGAGGCATGAGACAAGGCCGTCAGTGACATTGGAAGGGAATAATAAGAGATGAAATATTTGAGGAAAGTGGGAAAAGTATGAAATAGTAACTTTGTAGAGAAAGCAAGAAATCCCGTAAATATCTAGGCAGTGCTGAGTGCCCTGTTGACATGGTGAACGTGAACATCTAGTGACGCTGATCACCTGGTTGTGTGATTTTTCTCAAGGACACTGTTCCTTGGGTTAAAAACAGAGAAAGTGGGTGGTTGGGTTTGTCCAGGCTCAGGGCTTTGCCTGGTGGGTGCAGTGGATGGAGAGCAATTGTCAGGATAGTATGTGGAATCCGAGCTGGTTAAGGGGGCGGCAAGGGCAGGAGGAGGCAGGTGGAGAGTGGAGAGAGGCTCAGTGGTCTGGTGAGCTCCCTGAGGTGGTCGGGGGCCTAACAGGAGCTGGAAACCTCGGCGGTTGTGGTCCAGGGTGAGATGTTGGAACTTCTGGTGTCAACAGGGGTGCCGTTCTTCTGATGGTGGGGAGAGGGTGGAGGTTCAGTCTGTTGCAGAGACTGTGAGAGGAACTGGACAAATGTAGCTGTCAAGCAGAAATGAGAGAGAGATTTAGAGGACATTGGACAAAGATTCCAGATAAGTTTTTCTTCAGTTTTAGTGATCACCTACGCGTCTTCCCGCTATCAGGTGTTTCTGAGTGGCAGGTGGATTTTTCTTCAGTTTTAGTGGTAAACCATCCATCTTCTTGTTATCAGAGACTTTTGAGTAGCAGGTACAGGGAACGTTGGTGTTTGGTTTGTGTTTTGCACCCTTGGATGCAGATGCTGACATGGGACCAATCATTTCTCCGGAATTGCTGGTCACGTGTTATCTGCTTTTTGTGTAACATGTTACACTTTTTCTTAAGTGCTGTCACATGATCTCATTTAAGCCTCTTAACTGCCTGGGAAGGAGGAGTCGGGGCAGAGACCTCAGTGACCATTTACCGAGGAGGAGGAGCACAGGGAGGCTGGGTCTCTCTCATTCCCTGACTGACCTGTGTAGCCCCCTGATGTTCAGCTGACCAGTAACACCAAGAAAAATCTTTTTTATGACATCAGCAAATTAAATGCATGTAATTCAAGAAAAGATCTTAATTGTGGTTCGGATTCCTTGGATATCCTGAAAGTCACTGGTGGTGGACACTGGTCTAGTTTCTCTCTCTCTTTTTTTAAATTCCCCTTTAGAAATATCGCTTAGCTTGGATTGTCTCCAGATACTGGAGACAGTATATGGGAAGAAGATGTAGCAGTGCTACAATGACCTAATCTGGGTAGACCCAGAACGTGATACTTTTTGGTCTTCTGTAGTCTGAGTACCATCGTTGACCTTTACGAAGGATCCTTCTCCTCAGAAGAGCGCAGTGTGCCGAGTCGCTTACTGTCTGCTGAGCTGTAGCTATGTGTGTCTCGTTGGTTTTGTTTAAGTCTCACAATGGTGTTGTGAGAGAGAAATCATTATTCCCATTTGCAGAGGAAGAAACTGAGGCTTAGAGATGTCCAGGGGCCACAGTGAGTGTGAATGCTGGGATTTGGGCCTAAATCCAGCCATCTGATTGCAAAGCCTGTCTTCTTATCTAACTTAGCACTAAACAGAAGTTTAAAATATCATGATATGACAATAAAAGTATGTGTGTTAGAGGAGGGGAGGAGGGCTGGGTATAGAAAGACAAAGAGGAGCAAGTGTCTTGAGAGAATCTCTGTTTCCCATCTGGTGGGAGGAGAGCTCCAAGTCCCGGAGGCCTCAGTCGCCTCCTGAGTTGAGCTACTCACCGATGGGGAGGGATGGGGACATTGCCTGCCGCTGATGATTCAGAGAAGTGATTCAAGCTGTAGTTTCCTGAAGAAACTAGACATCTTCATTCTCATAACAGAGGCAAGTGTTGCCTCCGGGATTGCTCAGCCAGACCCAAAAGGAGAAGAGATCTGAGAGACTCATGAAGAGGACCTTTAAATGGAGTGTGAGGCGATTCTGTGCCGACCAGCTGCATCAGCTCACATAGGATCTGGGAAAGATGGGAACCGGGCAATTCCTCAACCCCTTGATTTATTTAATTCTTTTCTGGTTTTTCTTGGCTCTACTCCAGGGGAATACGGAGAGAACGGTCTGGCAGTACCACTTTCGGACCTGGCCAGACCACGGAGTGCCCAGTGACCCCGGGGGTGTGCTGGACTTCCTGGAGGAGGTCCACCATAAGCAGGAGAACATCATGGATGCTGGGCCTGTGGTGGTTCACTGCAGGTGAGTAGCCCCTCTCTGTCCCTGTCTACAAGCACTCAGGGCTTGTTTTTACCTACCCACCCCCAGCTCTTTAACTGCAGGAAGAATTTATTCTCTATTTGAGGCCTGATAAATTGCTTCAAGGGACACTTTGGCCCTAAAGTACATTTCTCATAGACCTTCCAGGCCAGCCAGGTACTGGGGGTGGCTAGGCAAAGGGTGGTGACCACAGTCCTTATTCTCAAGGAGTCCTTAGTCGTGTTTGCTTGGTTTTCTTTTTAGTTTAGTAATTTAGGATTCATCTCTTTGATTGTGATTCTGTTCTCTTCTACCATGGAAATAAGATATATTTTTTCCCCTGACAATACACTTGTTTGTTTCAAAAGATTCAGACCGCTCCCCACCCAGGCCTCTGGAAGCCATGCCCATGGCCTCTGCATCAGAGTTTGCAGGCTGCTGGTGCCCAAGTTTTGGGCTTCATAACTATACTGGGGAAAGTTAGGTTTCCTAAATCTCATTCATATGTTGGGCAAGTAGATGTGTGTGCAACTTTCCTTGTTCAGTGTTTTAAAAGCTACTGTTTATTGAATACTTGCTCTATGCCAGTCTCTGAGCTCAGTGTTTTTCATACCTGATTCACATTTGATCCTCACAACAACCCTGTAAGGTATGTACTGTTATCCCCATTTCACAGATGAGGAAACTGAGGGTCAGAGAGGGGAAGGGACTTGCCTCAGGCACATGGTCCTGGAGGAGCTGGACTCCCAGTGCAGGATGGACTGAGTCCCTGTGTTCTTTGCTAATATGTTTTCAAATATAAATAGACAATCTAAGTACTCCCCAGAGCAGACATTGTTTCTGTTGATGTTAATGGCTTGGTTTTGAGTATAAAACCCCCATGAATGACTCCATTGTGCTTGCTTTTTGTCCTTGTGCCCACAGTGCTGGAATTGGCCGGACAGGGACGTTCATTGTGATTGATATCCTTATTGACATCATCAGAGAGAAAGGTAGGTCATCTGGAGGGCAGAAGCTACAGTTCCCGTTTTTAGTTTATGGAAAGAAAGTGCTAGTGAAAATAGCCTGGGGAAGAATTTGAATGTTAAAAAATGTTCACAAAAATCTGGGCTGAAGACTTCAACTTTGCCAGAGAACAGAAATAATGCTATTTGGGCTTTTGGCATAAAACGAAGCCTAGGAGCTGTGGACCCCACTGCTGTAGTCTTTTGTTGAGTGTGCAGTGGTGGTCTCTACCCAGCCACTTCATCCTTGCTGGCGGTATGGGGTGGTGCTGTTGGAAAGGGAGGGAATCCTCATCTCCCACACTTCCTCACGTAATCTTCTGGGATCATTGGTATTGTCAGAAGGCCCGCGCCGTAGCCCTTGGAACACGTTCGGTTAGAACACTGAAGACTGCATGTGCTTTATCTCTGAGTCTGCTAAACGTTGTGCATTAAAGCACTTCACCCAGGCTCTGCAGTTTCTCCTGATGCTTCGTGGTGCTTGCTTTGTAGGCGTCGACTGTGACATCGACGTTCCCAAAACCATTCAGATGGTGCGGTCTCAGAGGTCAGGGATGGTGCAGACAGAAGCTCAGTACCGGTTCATCTATATGGCCGTCCAGCATTATATCGAGACACTACAGCGCAGGATTGAAGAAGAGCAGGTACTGAGCCTGCAGGGCTGGTGTGCGGATTTTCATTTTTTTTTTTTGCAACAGCTTGAATATGCTCTCCTTTTGAGCAGGAGGACAGGCTCTGATAGACGACTGTCTTTATTTGGGAATGGGAAACAAGTTCTCAATCAGGAAGAGCTTCTCTGGAAACTGATTATTTCCCTACTTCACAGCTCTGATTTTTCGGAAGGGAGGGGCACCATGCCGTTGTCCCGGCCTGACAGATTGGGGAACTGACACACAGAAAGGTTAGAACTTTCCCAGGCTCACATGGCAAGCTTAGAACTCAAAGCCTCGAAGTTTCCAGCTTGTTCCAGTTTTGATCCAGGCCATATTTATCCTGATTCCATCTCTTGAATGAATGCTTCACTCCTCATAGTGCGCGGCGGTTTGAACCGCCAATTCGGTGGAGTTGGAAACAGTGAAATTTCAATTTTAATAAGCCGTGCATAATGAAGAAGAATGTGGGATTGGAGCCTTTCCATTTGAAGCTATTCATAACAGACACAAAGCTGAGTTAATTAGGAGTTTGCTGAGATGAGGGAAAGGAGGAGACTGCTCTTTTGGGGGAGCTGTGCTTATCTCCCTCCCCACCCCCACCCCAGCCCTGTTGCTATGCTGCAGATGGGGTGGTGTCTAAACATCAGTGATATTTGCCTGCTTTACCCTGTTTACTGCCTTCCAGAGAACTCAACTTCTCAAAAGGGGAGCTAAGCTCTTCTCAAAGTGGGCCATGCCACCTGATTGAAAGATTTCTTACCTGGCAGAATAGCAGCCATGTTATCCAAGCTTGGTTAGCCAAAGTAGGACACTTGGTAATTAGTTTAGTAGGTTCTCAGTCCACACAAAAATACTCACTAGACTGTTTGATTGTACAAAAACATCTTCAGAAACAGTGCATGTGTGTGTACATCAAATGTACACATATATATGGAGTGTAAGGTCAAATACTTAGCAAGTGAATGGCTTTGAGCTTTAGTGCTTTCAATCTGACTTTGGGTTACTGTCAGTGCCGTGAAATATTTAGATGGTTACCATAGGCTATTTCGTATTTGTCTTGCGGTTATGCTTAATTTGGTCCAGGAATAGTTAAAGCATAAGTTGCCCAAAGAGAAGGATTCCTAGTAACTACAAAGAGAGTGCACAGTTGGTGCAAATTGAAAAATATTCAGGGATATCTTGAAACACATAATCTAGTCTTGCTCAGAAAAGCTGGAGAAAAAGCTCTCTTATTTCGTTCAGAAGCTTTGGTTTTTATCCTTGTTTTAGAGAATTTAGGGACTTCTCTCCCCAGCTTTTATAGCACTTTAGATCTTCTCATTACCATATGGTCTCTCTGACCCTAAATCTGGAGTTGTAATGTGGATTTAGGAAGTGTTTAAAAAAATCTTTATCGCTGCCTTTTTTTGGTTTGGGGGGGCGGTGGACAAAAGCAAAACATGTTTTTTAATAATTTAAGTATTACAATATATAGAATACAGAAACTGAATGTCCCTGGCAATCCTACCCTACGAGTGCTTGTGTGCACGCAGGCATTCATTCATTCACTCATTCAGCAAATACTTTTTGGGTGCCAATATGTACCAACACTGTGTCCTAAGCTCATTAACTACTATTTGATATATAAGCCTTCGTATTTAAAAAAAATGTGTAAGCTTAGATTATTTATTTTTAAAAATGGGATCCTGTGGGGGCCAGCCCCGTGGCGCAAGTGGTTAAGTGCGCGCGCTCCGCTGCGGCAGCCCAGGGTTTGCTGGTTCGGATCCCGGGCGTGCACTGACGCACTGCTTGGCAAGCCATGCTGTGGCGGCGTCCCATATAAAAAAAAGTGGAGGAAGATGGGCACAGATGTTAGCCCAGGGCCAGTCTTCCTCAGCAAAAAAAGAGGAGGATTGGCAGTTGTTAGCACAGGGCTGATCTCCTCACCAAAAAAAAAAAAAAAAAAATGGGATCCTGTAATATGTAGTTTTCTGCATTGTACTGTCTGATTCAGTGTAAGAACTTGCTACCTGATTTCGTGGTAAAGTTAAAAGTACTTTCATTTAGTAGAAGATTTAAGTGGCAAACTTAAAAACATTAAACCCACCTGATTTTTAAATTAAGCAAATGAACAAAAGTCATTCAGGATAATTGGTTATTTTGAAATACAGTCATTTCCAAAATTATGAAGAGTTAAGGACTTTGGGAGTGAAAGAATTTGCTAAAAGGATAAATGAAAAAAAGAAAATGACAGTCATGGGTGGAGAACAGTGGGGAAGGGAGTAGAGAAATAGAGACAGCGCTGCGACGGAGGAGATGCAAAAATGGAGGTGGAAATCCAGGGGAAAATGCAAATGAAACAAGATGGAGAAAATTCTCAAGTTTTTATAAATGGTTCTTCTCACACTCTGCCATTTACTTGGAAGTAGATTTCTTTGTTCACTTCCATGTATAGTATTAAAAGATTATTTTTATTTGCAAAAAACAGTATATAGAATTCCCTTTACCCAGCTTTCCTGACTGTTAACATTTTAACACACTTAATCATTTGTTCATATTCTCTCTCTCCACATATATATATAATTTTTTTAAGTGAAATGTTTGTAAGTTGCAAACATTTATGCTCCTTTGCCTCTAAATGCTCCGATGCGTATTTCCTAGAAATAAGGACATTCTCTTATATAACTACAGTAAAATTATCAAAACCAAGAAATTAACATCGATCTAATATTATTTTCTAATCTACAGACCATATTCAAATTTTGCCAATTTGGCCTCCTCTAATATCCCTTAAGTGGTCCAGGGTCCCATGGTGCATTTAGTTGTCATGTATTTTTAGGCTCCTTTAATCTGGAACAGTTTCTCATGACCTTGACATTTTTTAAGAGTTCAGGCCAGTTATTTGATAGAATACCCCTCAATTTGGATTTGTGGTGTGGTATTTTCTCTTGATTAGATTCAGGTCATGTATTTTTGACAAGACTGTCACAGAAGTGGTGTTTTGTCCTCAATACGTCACATCAGGAGCACCTTCTGTTGATTTGTTTCGTTACTGGTGGTGTTAACTTGGATTCCTTGATTAAGGTGTTGTCTGTCAGATTTCTCCACTTTAAAGTTACTGTTGTTCCCTTTTTAATTAATATCTTGTAGGTAGATACTTGAGACTATATAAATAACCAATTTTTAATCATACTTTTTGCTTATTAGTTGTACATTCAGTCACAATTCTTTTTTTTTTTTTTTAAGCTTAACTTCTTTTTTTTTTTTTGTGAGGAAGATCAGCCCTGAGCTAACATCCATGCCAATCCTCCTCTTTTTGCTGAGGAAGACCGGCCCTGAACTAACATCTATTGCCAATCCTCTTCCGTTTTTTCCCTTTTTCTCCCCAAAGCCCCAGTAGATAGTTGTATGTCATAGTTGCACATCCTTCTTAGTTGCTGTATGTGGGACGCCGCCTCAGCATGGCTGGACAAGCGGTGTGTCGGTGCACGCCCTGGATCCGAACCCGGGCCACCAGTAGCGGAGCGTGCGCACTTAACTGCTAAGCCATGGGGCCGGCTCCCGCAGTCACAATTCTTGCCTGGAAAAATTACTGCTGTGACATTTGCCCAATGGTGATTTTCTGTTTCTATCATTTCTTTTCATTTATTAGTTGAAAACCTACTCTAAGGAAGAGCTTTCCCTTCTCCCTTATTTGTTTATTCATTTATTTATGTCAGAATGGGTTATAATCCATTTCTATTATTTATTTTGTTCCTTAAATTGTCCCAAATTTGGCTAGTAGGAACCTTTTCAGGTTGGTTCCTCTATCCTTTTGATATGTTCCCATTTTTGAGCACTTCCTTACATCTTTTGACGCCACGGGATGATCCAGGGTCATATTGTACTTTGCTGTTTTTCAAAGGAGCCCTGATTATTTTTATTCAAGAGTTGGTATTTTGAAGCCAAGATCTGAGTACTGGGTGTGCTTATTTGTACTGGTATAATATTCTTTGAGTTGGTAATTAGCTAATTAATTACTGCTCTAGTTGAGTTCTCTCTATATAACCTCCCACATATATGTGCGCATATATATATATATATATATATATATATATATATATATGCAACTCTTCTTCTCCCCTCCACTAGTTTTTTTAAATAAACTCTTTATTTTGGAATAATTTTTAGATTCACAAAAAGTTGTAAAGACAGTGTAGAGATTTCCTGGCTACCCTTCATCCAGTTTCCTGTAATGTTCACATCATACATAACCATTGTATATTTATCAGAATTAAAAAGTTAACACTGATGCATTGCTACTAAGCTCTAGAGTTTGGATTTCACCAGTTTTTCAACTAATACCCTTTTTCTGTCCTAGGATCCAGTCCAGGATCCCATATTGAGTTTAGTCACATGTCTCCTCTGATCTGTGATAGTTTTTTAGTCTTTGCTTGTTTTTCATGACCATGACACTTTTGAAGAGTGCTAGTCTGACATCTTCTAGAATGCTCCTCGATTTGGGTTTGTCTGTTTTCTCGGGATTAGACTGGGGTAATGGGTTTTTGGGAAGAGTGCCACGACGTAAGTTGTGAAGTGCCCCTCTCATCGCTCGGGGGCCCCTGATGACAACATGGCCTGGTGATGTTAACCTTCATCACTTAATTTAGGTGGTGTTGGCCAGATTTCTCTCATTGTGTAATGACTCTTTTTCTGTTTTTTTTACTCTCTTCTTTGGAAGCGAGTCATTTAGTGCAGATCATACCCAAGGGAAGGGAGTTATGCTCCTTTTGGAATGGGTGGTAGCTACATAACTCATTTAGAATTCTCTTGTAAGGAAGATTTGTCCTGTCTCTCCGTTTATTTATCCAATTGTTTCTTTTTCTGTTTTTGTTTTTTTGTGAGGAGATCAGCCCTGTGCTAACATCTGCCAATCCTCCTCTTTTTTTTTTTTTTGCTGAGGAAGACTGGCCCTGGGCTAACATCCCTGCCCATCTTCCTCCACTTTATATGGGACGCCACCACAGCACGGC